GGGGAAAAAAATGGGAATTTGAGGAGAAATTGGGGAATTCTGGGAGGAATTTGGGGTAAAAATTGGGAATTCAGGAAAAAATTTGGGAATTCTGGGAGAAATTTGGGTAAAAATTGGGAATTTGGGAAGAAATTTGGGAATTCTGGGAGGAATTTGGGGGAGGAATTTGGATAAAAATTGGGAATTTAGGAAGAAATTTGGGAATTCTGCGAGAAATTTGGGGATTTTAGAGAGAAGTTTGGGAATTCTGGGAGAAAATTTTGGGATTTGGGGAGGAAATCTGGGAATTTTGGGAAGAATTCCTGTCTGGAAAGGGAAAATTTTGGGAATTTAAAGAAAAATTTGGGGATCTGGGGGTAAAAATTGTGAATTTTGGGAAGAAATTTGGGGATGTGAAGAGAAAATTGGGGATTTGGGGAGGGATTTGAAAATTCTGGGAGGGATTTGTGGTGAAAATTGGGAATTTGAGGAGAAATTTGGGAATTCTGGGAGGAATTTGGGAATTTTAGGGAGAAATTTGGGAATTCTGGGAGGAATTCCTATATGGAAAGGGAAAAATTTGGGAATTTTGGGAAGAAAATTGGAGATTTGAGAAAAAAAATGGGGATTTGGGGAGAAATTCCTGCATGGAAAGAGAAAGTTTGGGAATTTTGGGAATAAATTTGGGTATTTGGGGAGAAAAATGGGGATTTTGGAAGAAATTTGGGACTCCTGGGAGGAATTCCTGCATGGAAAAGGAAAAATTTGGGAATTTGGGGAGAAAATTGGGAATTTTGGGAAGAAATTCCTGTGTAGAAGGGGAAAATTTCGAGGATTTTGGGATAAATTTGGGGATTTGGGGAGAAATCTGGGATTTGGGGGGAGATTTAGGAAATTTTGGGAGCAAATTTGGAATCTGGGGAAGAATTCCTGAAATTCTGGGAAGAATTCCTGCATGGAAAGGGATGGGAAGGAGAAAAATTAGGGAATTTGGGGAGAAAATTGGGAGTTTTGGGAGAAATTTAGGAATTTGGGGAAGAATTCCTGCTCGGAAATGGTGGGAGATGGGAGAAATTTAGGAAAATTTGGGAATTTTTAGGAACTCACCATGTGAAAAATCCCTTTTCTCATCCTTTTCCTTCTCTTCTTTTCCGGGATCCATCCCTGAGGAATTCCTGGGGAAATCCCAAGGATTTGGGGTTGGAAAAAAATGGAAAAAAGATCCGTTAATTCTGCATAAATTTGGGGATTTTTATGGGCAGAAGGAAATGAAAAAAGTCCCGATAATTTTCGAAATATTTGGGAAATTTTCAGGAGAAAAAGGGGATGGAAATGGAAAAAAATCCTGTTAGTTTTCCTTAAATTTGGGAAGTTTTTGACCAGAAAAGAGGGATGGGGAAAAAAAAAAAAAAAAAAAAAGTCAATTTTACGTAAAATTGGGAATTGTTTCATGAGGAAAAAGGACTGGGAAAAAATCCCTTTAATTCCCAATAAATTTGGAAAATTTTCAGGAGGAAAACAAGGTGGGAATGCGGGAATAGGAGGGATTTTGGGAATAAATACCGAGAAAACGACACTGAGGATCGCAAAGGAAACGGACAGGAAACACCCCGAGAGGTGACAGCGAAGATAAGAAGAAGGACAGCGATTATCCCAATAAATTATCCCAAGGAATTTTATCTCAAGGAATTTTATCCCAAAAATTCCCCTCCGAGACCCCAAATCCTTCCCTCAGGGCTCCGCTCTCACCTCAAGTTTCCCGCCTCTGCGCCACCGGAAGTGCGTCATCACGCATATCTCCGTTCCGTACAACATGGCGGCGCCCTGCAAGCTCCCGGCAGCCCGCGCGGTTCCGTACGGCAACATGGCGGCGGCGCTGGTGCAGTACGTGGTGCTCCGCGGGGATCTGGCGCGGCCTCCCCGCTCGTGGCCGCTCGGTGCCGTGGTGGCTCAGGGCTGCCACGCGGCGCTGGCCGCCGTTCACGGTTACCGGGAGCATCCCGACACCGGAGCGTACCTGGAGCTGGGCGCCGCCATGAGAACCGTGGTGCTGGAGGTAGCGGCGCCGCCGCGGGGCATGACGGGAGCTCCGCGCTGAGGGGGAGCCGGGCGCCATCTTGGGAGGGGCGGAGACGGATCGGGAATCAGGAAAAAAATCCTGATTTTTCCCTCCAAATCCCGATTTTTTATCCCAAAATCCCGATTTTTCCCCCAAATCCCTATTTTTATCCTAAAATCCCGATTTTTTTCCCGCCATGAGAACTGTGGTGCTGGAGGTAGCGGCGCCGCCGCGGGGCATGACGGGAGCTCCGCGCTGAGGGGAAGCCGGGCGCCATCTTGGGGGGGGCGGAGATGCCTCCGGATTTTGCGGAAAATCAGGAAAAAATCCTGATTTTTCCCCCCCAAATCCCGATTTTTTTCTCCCAAAATTCCAGTTTTTTCTCCCAAAATCCCGATTTTTTTTCCCGCCATGAGAACCGCCGTGCTGGAGGCAGCGGCGCCGCCGCGGGGCATGAGGGGGAGCCGGGCGCCATCTTGGGGGGGGAGGACAGGGCTCGGGATTTTTGGGAAAATCGGAAATTAGGAAAAAAATTCTGATTTTTTTTCCCCTCAAATCCCGATTTTTTCCTCAAAATCCCGATTTTTCTTCCAAAATCCTGTTTTTTTTTCTCGCCATGAGAACCGCGGTGCTGGAGGTAGCGCGGGTCATTGATGGGAGCTCCACGCTGAGGGGGAACCGGGCGCCATCTTGGGGGGGGGCGGACAAGGCTCGGGATTTTTTTGTAAAATCGGAAATTAGGAAAAAAAATCTGATTTTTTTCATCCCAAATCCCGATTTTCCCCCAAAATCCTGATTTTTTTTCTCCCAAAATCGCGGTTTTTTTCCCCGCCATGAGAACCGTGGTGCTGGAGGAAGCGCGGGGCATGATGGGAGGGGGGAAATCGGGATTTTGTGGGGAAAAAATCGAGATTTTGTGGGAAAAAAATCGGGATTTTGTGGGAAAAAATCGGGATTTGGAGAAAAAAAAAGTGGTTTTTTGGCGAAAAAACCGAGATTTCGTGGAAAAAACCCCGAAGGAATTTCAAATCCAGATGGGATTTGGGGACACACCCATCACGGGGAATCCTCCAGCCCCACGATTTCCAAAGGCTTTCCCAATAAAAATTCCCTAAAATTCCACGCTTCCCTCTTTCCATCCCAACTCTTCACAATCCTCAGAACGAAAAAAAAAAAGCTAAAAATCACAAAAACAGCCAGATAAGAGATTTAAAAAAATAAATAAAAAAATCCGCGGGGGGTGGGAAAGCCAGCTCGGGTTTGGGAATAAGGAAAATTCCTGGAAATAATTCCCATTTTTTTTTTTTTTTTATTGGCTCGGCAGGCTCCGGATGAGAATTCCCTGCTGGATTTGGCGGAGTCGCTGAAGGAAAAAGGCGTCGAACACCGACTTTGGATGGAGAATCCCGAGGGAATTCCCACGTGTTTGGCGCTCCGGCCTTATCCCAAAAATCAGGTGCAGCAACACCTCAGGAAATTCAAACTCCTCAAATGACTTCGTCCTGATTTTTCCAGGTTTTTTTATTCCTTCAAATCTGGGAATTTTGGAGGTGAATTCCGGCGTTTTCGGGATGAGGAATTTTGTGGTTTTTAAAGTGGTTTTTTTTCCCCCCGAGTGGAATTTGTGGTTTTTGTTGTTGTTGCCGGGATTTGTTTTGGGTTGGGAAAAATCCTGGTTGGATTTGGAGGGAGTTGAGGGGATTGTAGGGAATTTCTGGGAATTTTTAGAGGGGGGGGAAGGAGGAAAAGAGGAAAAATAAGAGATAAAAGGAGGAAAAAAGGAAGAAATGGGAAAGGAAAAAAGAAAAAGTAGGGAAAAAAAGGGGAAAAAAGGAGGAAAAGAGGAAAAAAAGGGGGGAAAAAGGAAAAATAATGAGGGAAAAAAGGAGGAAAAGAGGAAAAAAAGGGGGAAAAAAGGAAAAATAATGAGGGGAAAAAAGGGGGAAAAAGGAGGAAAAGAGGAAAAAAAGGGGGAAAAAAGGAAAAATAATGAGGGGAAAAAAGGGGAAAAAAGGAGGAAAAGAGGAAAAAAAGGGGGAAAAAAGGAAAAATAATGAGGGAAAAAAAGGGAAAAGAAGGGGAAGGAAAATCCTTGAGGAAAAAAAGGAGAAAAGAGGAAAAGGGGAAGGAAAAAAGAGGAAAAAAAGGAGAAATAAAGGAGGGAAAAAAGAGGAAAAAAATAAGGAAAAAAGGAAAAAAAAGGACAAATAATGAGGGAAAAAAGGAGGAAAAAGGGAAAAGAAGAGGAAGGAAACTCCTTGAGAAAAAAAAAAGAGGAAAAGAGGAAAAAGGGGAAGGAAAAAGGAGGAAAAAGAGGACAAATAAAAGAGGAAAAAAGGAAAAGAAGAGGAAGGAAAAAAGAAGGGAAAAGAAATGAGGAAAAAAATCCCAAATTTCCTTTGAGATTCCCGTTTTTTCCCCTCCATCCTAAACTGGGAAATTTGATTTAGGTGGAATTTTGGGAAGAAATTCCCAGAAAATACGGGAATCCCTGGGAATATCCAAAATTTGGAGCCACCTGCAGTGGCGGGAATTCTCTCAGGATGGGATATGAGCTCTTTTCCCACCCGGAATTCCTGGAATTTCGGTGAATATTCCCAAATTCCTGTGGGTTTGGGATCGTTTTTCCCTCTTTTTTTCCCATTTTCAGCTTTCATTTCACGGATGCCGATCCTTGGGAATTTTTCCAAGGGAACTGAAATCCCAAAAAACAGCAAATCCCTGGATCCCATCCCGGAATTTCCGATGGAATTCCCGATTTTCCAGCCCCAAAAATTAAATTTCCCATTTTTGCCCCAAATTTTTCCCTTTCCCACCTCCCCAAAACAACAAAACTCTCCAAACTCCGGATTTCTCTTTTTTTTTTTTTTTCCCCATTTTTTTTTTTTCCCCCAGAAATTTTTGGAGGAGAAAAACCCAAAACTTTAAAATTCCCATAAAAATTCCACCCTGGGAATTCCAAACCAGAAAAAAAAAAAACAACCCCTAAAAAATAAATTGAATTTAATTCCAAAGAAAAACCACCAAAAAAAAAAAAAATTATTAAAAAAAAAAGCGAT